TACCAAATAAAAAAGCCCTTGGACAACAATAACAACCAAAAATCACCCTAAATTTGTTACAGAAAACATAGCATCCTGAATCCTTAATTACCTCAAACTTTTTATTCTGCTCTTACTTACATATATTGTATGGTAGCTTCATTGTATAACAAAGCATACATGGTTGGCAAATATCTTCTTCTCTTCTGTAGATTACCTTTTCATTTTGTGATTGCTTTCTCTGCTATGCAGTTGACTGAAGCCTGCCAGAACCTCACTGTCTATTTTTGCCTTAATCACCTGGGACTTTGAGGGTCATACTCAAGAAAAACCTCCAAATCCAATGTCACAAAGAGTTTTCTATATTTTTTTTCTTCTAGAAGTTTTGTGGTTATAGGCTATATGTTTTTATCTTAATCATTTTGAACCAAATTTTGTAGTAACATCATAAGTGAATGCTTGATTAATTTAATTTCTTTGCTTGTAGATGCCCAGTTTTTCCAGGACCATTTGTTAAAGAGATTGATCTGCCATCCTTGCCCATGTCAAAGATGACATCTTGTGTATGGGTTTGTTTCCAGCTTTCGCCCCATCCCATCAGACTCTGAGTGTGCCTTCCTGCTGTGTTCTAGCTTTTACTGCACAGCTGGTGACTGTGTTTGGAAATCAAGACAGCACAGTCCAGCTTTGTAGTAGCTTTTTGACAAAGTAGAGATTCCACATATTTTGGATTTTTTTCATTATCTGCTGAAAGCACTTTTGGGATTTTTTATATGGGTGGCATTGAATCTTTTGATCAGTTTAGATGACATAAATATTTTAATAATATTAAACGGCTTAAACAGATTGTCTAGTAGAATAGCAGATATCAACATATTCTTTTTTTATTTTTTGTGATCATAATCACAACATTTCTCCCTTCCCTGTCCTCCCTCCAAACTCTTCTATATATCCTTCTCTGTTCCCCTTCAAATTCATGACCTCTTTTCCATTAACTGTTATTATGTATATATATGAATATTTTATATATATACATATAAATATAACCTATTCAGTCTGTATAATGGTACTTATCTGTATGTTTTCAGAGCTGACCATTTAATTTGATCAATGTTTATAGTTTTAATGATATAACTTTCCACCTACTTGTTAATTTTATTTGTAATTATTTTACTCATTTAGTGTTATTATAAGGAGATAACTTGATTTTTTCCTTTTATATTGTTTATATAAAACAGCCAAATTTGTTTCTTAATGATTAATAGAATTCTCTACTGATGGCATATGGTTCTGGGAACATTTTTCATTGAGAGATTTTTGATTATTGATTCAATCTCCTTACAAGTTACAGGTCTATTCAGATTTTTAATTTATTGACAAATAAATCTTGAAATCTAGGAAGGTTTTCACTCCACAACAAATTCTTGGTACTTCGTCTATTCGTCTGTTTTAGGTCACTCTTAGCAAGGGTTAGTGTGGGATGCTCCATGATAAATCTCTGCACTGTTGCAACTGAACTCAGGGTCCCGTGCATGCAATGCAAGTTCACATCACCAGAGCTACATCCTCAGCCCGCCTCTAGCAAAGCTGAACAGACAGCTTAGTGAGCGTCATCAGGTGAGTGCGTCCTCACTCACCAAATGACTGTCACTCTGAAACGGAAGCTCAATGTCTGTCAAAGGTTGCTCACAGAACAGCTGCCTCATGTACGACATGCTGCTTTCCTGCATCCACTCTTTTTGACATTCAGAAGATGTACTCGGAAGGTTTAGACTTTAATATCTCAAATAAACACCACCAATATCTAAAGTGAATATCGTACATGAGTATTCGCATACAATTTGGAAGGTTTTATCCTGTGTTAAGTTAGCATCTGTGTTGATATTCTACATTCCCAAGGAGAAAAAAGTCAAAAAGGCATCTTCTCAGCTCCCAAAGGAGAAGCATCAGTTGCACATTCTCTATGTCACAGGGGACTTTCAGAACCAAATTTACCATGTGATTTCCTAATCTTGAAAATGTGTGATTTTTTAGTTGGGAGATGAACAAAGAACTGGCAGTGGTAGATAGAATAGGCAAATGATGCAAGTTGGCTGCAAAGTCACAATCCTTACTAGAAGAATAAGTGAAGGCCACTTACACTCCAAGGTGACGATGCTATGTGACTGTAGCAATCCAGTTCCTATAGGCACCGCCATATTGGAGGGGGAGCCAGAACAAGAGGATAGGACACTTATGGATTCAACTAACTAAAAGTTGCTTCTCTCAGTTGAGATTGAAGTAAGAGCAGAATAAAAACTTTGAGGTAATTAAGGATTCATGCTTCTGTTTTCTGTAACAAAATTAGGGTACCTTTTTTGTTATTGTTGTCCAAGGGCTTTTTTATTTGGCAGTATTTATTTAATCAACTACATTTTTAAAAAACTTCCAATGTTATATCAGCTCTGAAGTTAGCTTAGTAGTCCAGAAATACTTTTATTGCAATAAACTTTCAAATTTGCCCTAAGCTTTAATAATTCTCCATGGATTGGTGTTCTACTGTTGAGTAGTAACATCAAGAAATTAGTACTGTCTTAATAAATACCATTAACCTTCAAATTCCAGCAGAGAAAAATATTGTTCTCCAGTAGAGAAAGTTGTCTTAGTCTGGTTGGAAGCTTCTGGGGGATGGGGACATGTGGAGTACTGAGTCAGGAAAGGGGCAGACACATAGTTAGCCCAGCCAGCTAAAGTGACCCTGGTGATCAGTGAGTGAACAACAGGCCAAGGGATTGACGGCTCATGTTTCTAGTCTTCTTTCCTTCCTTGCCTGTGAGTGCTCCATTAGTGATTCAGGCTTGCTAGATCTTACTTACTGCTTTACCTGTCATCTCTGTGCAGTTCACTTCCAAATTACATGGGCAAGACACCTTTCCTAAATACCATGCTGTTTGTGTCTTTTCCTGTTCAAGAATTTGTGATCTACAATTAAATTTCAAATAAGTACTTCCACAGTTAGCACTGCTAAACTAAAGTGATCTTTTCCCCAGCCTACTCTATCTGTCTTTACTGGATCAGTTGACGACAACGCCATTATTATTGTTGTTGTTGTTATTATTATTGTTGTTATTGTTATTATGTGGTACTGGGGTCCAACTCATGGCCTTGTGTCTGCTAAGTGGGTAGTCTAACGTATCTGCCTTCTTTTTAATTTTTATTTTGAGACAGTTTCATTAAGTTGCACAGACTAGTTTTAAACTTGATTTATAGTTCATGCAAGCCTTGACCTTGCCATCTTCTTGCCTCAGTCTTCCTTGTAGCAGAGATCACAGGTGTGTGGCATGAGGCCCAGCTGGCAACTCCATTCTTAATGTTTCTCTTGTCACTTTTACTTCTCAAAAGGTTTGTCAACATAATTTTTTTCCTCTTCCTTCTACTTAGTAGATTGGAATATTTTGGTAGCTCCACCTCCTTCAAACTGTATGTATGTCTGTCTCACTGAATGAATGTTCTCACAAATTAAAACAAAAATTATGGGTGAGAGAGTTCAGAGAATGAGCTTAAGTCCACATGGTTAGATATGATCAAGTCGGAATTCAAATCTCCACTTATGACTGACCATGTACAATATAATGTTGCCATAATTCTGTTAAGTCTCCAAAGTAAATGTTGTACTTGTTCTTCTGTTTATAAAGTTCAGAAATATGATTTGGCCTACTCTGTAGTTGCCTGGAATGTGACTGGATCATTGCAAATAGCGTGTAATTTGTCCACTGGGTCCTGTAGGTGGTCTCTGTGTGCACAGCAGTTATTTTGTAAATACCAGTTAACTTAGTTGAATTGCCTGGCGCTCGCCTGACATGTTATTTTCCTTTGAGCCAAGAACCTATGTTCTTGCAGTACTTGAGGCTGAGTCTTGGCTCTTGCTCATGCTTGGAAAGTGCTGCACCACTGAGCTACATCCCCAGTCCTTTGTAGACTTTATTTGATGCAAGGCATTGCCAACTTAACTACAGTGACCCTGAACTTACTGTGTAGCCCAGACAGGTCTTCAGTTTGTGATCCCCCTGAATCAGTCTATTCCACAAATACAATTGCATGTAAGTTTGTATTCCAAGGAAAAAAAGGGGGGTGGAGGACCTCAAAGGATAAAACCAAAGTGGGAAAAGGGGTATTCATGAAGGAACGTGTTTGTGGAGGCCATTTCAAGATGTTTCTGCTCTATCTCTGTCTTAGAAAATCAAAATACATAAATGCATTTCATTTCCTGATGTTTTCACAATACACCAAATGGGTCTTGATGCTCATACATTTTAAGCTTAGACTATAGAATTATTATTTAAATTATTTAGTATTTTATCTTAAAAACTTCTGCATTAGAAAACCGTCTTTTCACTTTTACTGCTTAGAAGTTTTAACTTTGCACAGCTGGTCACAGGCTTTCTTTTTATGAATATGGAGAATATTTATCTATAAAACGGATGTTAGGTACCAAACCTTTGGGATCATTACTTTATCTAGATTCTTCTCCTTTATATTTACATCTTAAAATTTACTGCATTTTCCCTCAACAATTTGTGTTAGTTTGATTCAAGGATGAAATCTAATGAATATTTAAGTCAGAAAAGTGATTTCTGTGCCTCAGCTTTTTTGAACCCATGTACTCACCTCCCCATACTTCCTTTGACATGAACAGCCACTGTGGAATGACTTATCAAATATTCATATGGGTTTTGAAATAGTTCTTGAAGCAGTAAGATGCTCTGAGAGGTCTAAACAGAAACTATGTCTCAGAATGCTTGAGACAACTGAATGCGTGAAAGGTTGGCTACAACAGTTTATGCTTAGAAAGGGAACTTCGTTACTTTAAAAAAAAAAATGGCTGCTGGCAAACAAACCTAAAACAGAAGTTCAAAAACAAAACATTTTATTTATAGAAAATGGCTGGTTCTGATAACATTTGCAACAATAAATATATGTGAGTCTTTGCGTTTGTGAGCAACACTGTGATCAATTATATTGCTATCTTTTCTTCTCTGTAGTGTATGCCAATCAAAGGCCTAGGATTCGTGCTTGGAGCCTATCAGTGCATTTGCAAAGCAGGATTCTATCATCCCCGTGTCTTCTCCGTGAACAACTTTCAGAGTAAGTGTTCTTTGCCTCTGTGCATGCGTGTTCACACACACATAACACATCTGCTGACCGTCATTCAGACTCCTGTTTAACCTTGTTGAAGTTACAAGATCAAATGCTCATTGGCTTGGCCTTCTTGAATCACTTAGAGGATTTTTGTTTGGGTTTGTCATTTTCAGTGCTCGGGTGACTGTTCATGAAGACATGTGCTTAGGGAATTTTTTAGTTTTCAAGACATTTAAAAGCCTGAAGGTGTTATAGCTCTTGGAGATGACCCTTTAAGGTTTAATTTTTGAGAATTGTTACTAGAAAGTTTCTAAAGCTTATTCTGCCCCTTTATTTTATTTGTGAATTTATTATATGTTACTTTTCAATAGTGCATGGACAGTTACCAGCGAGCAGCTTAACAACACACAGTTGTTATCATTCAATTTCCATGGATCAGGTTGCCAGTTATGGACTAGTGTCTCACCAAATTAAAGATTTCACAGGTGTGATTTCTGAGGCTGAAGGTAATCCTTGAAGCCTTTTAGATTGTCTGAGGAATTCAGATCTTCACAATCAGAGCTCCTAATTTTGTGGCTGAACGTTTGTGTGGAGTTATTCTCAGTTCTAAAAGTTCCATCATGGTCTGTCGTTTTCTGCTCACACATTGCCGCTCACACATTCCTACTTAACTCCCTTACAGCCACCAGAGGACCCTCCCATCCTGCTCGTCCAACTTCCTCTAACAGCATGTGATTGTGGGAGTGACTCTTCTCTCACTTTGCTGTACAATGTCCACGGTCAAAGGAGAGAAGGAACCCTTGTATTGGCAGGCCTATTCATACCCAAAGTGGGTGATTATACAGGGTTTATATACTAGCAGCGAAACTTCATCATCTGTTCACTTTATGCCTACTCCAGAGAATGTTAGTGTTGCAATCTGAACACTGAGTTTTATTCTGTCTGTAATATAAAAAATTTTATATAGCCATATTGACTTTTGACCAGCTATTGGACATACCTGATGAAAAGGAATGTAGTTGGTAAAAATGTGGGGATTTCATGGGAAATTGGATTTAGAGGCTGCTAAAAATTAGGCATATGCCTCCTTCATACAGTTATCCATTAATCTTTGGCACTCTGTGACTGCTATCTGTGGTAATTTGCATATCTAGTAGGCAATATTAAAGGGTACATTTGAAACTCTATCCTGGCAGTTTTCCTCTATGAATTTAGACATTTATAGGTTTATTAATAGACTGTTTTCTTCCTCTTAGGAAACCTCCTTCTTGAGTCTGGAATCTATTTACATTTTACTTCTTGGTTCCCCAGTCATGTTTAACTCTTGTTCTGAGTAATAGGTGTAGGCAGAATTTTGGACGGTTCCGTCTTCTACATACACATACATCATAAGTCCTGTGTTTATGTGTGGTGGGGCTTGTAAGCACAATGAAAGAGTCAGTCCCCTTGCTGAGACACTGCCTATGGTTGCACTGTGACATAAGATAGAACCTGTTGTAGAAGACAGAGAGGAAAGGAAAGAGAGTGCATACACACGTAGACTAGGACACACACACACACACACACACACACACACACACAGAGACAGACAGACAGACAGATAGATAGCTGATAGGTGGATATATAGATGATAGATAGATAGATAGATAGATACATAGATAGATAGATAGATAGATAGATAGATAGATAGATAGATAGATGGATGGATAGAGACAGAGAGAGACACACACACAGAGACATACAGAGAGAGACTTGTACTGATTTGAAGAGAGAAGTTATCTTGCTGTGAGAATGTAGGTTGGGACTTGAGGCAGACTTCACTGACAGCCTTCAAGAAGACAGGGATTTCAGTTGAGTTCCACAACCTGAGCTGTTAGAGGACTTGAGTTCCCAGTGAGAGTGTGACCTAACCAGATGTCTTGATTCCAGCGTGACCAGATCTGCAGTTGGAAACCCAGGTATACTCTGCTCAGATTCTAATTGCCAGAAACAAGGAAATAACAAATATTTCAAGCTCTCAGGTTTCTAGAAGTTCCTTTGAGGCCATAGAAAGCATACAACCATGCTGATAATGGTTTTAGGAAGTTGATGCTTTTCTGGTGTGTGTGTGTGTGTGTGTGTGTGTGTGTGTGTGTGTGTGTGTGTGTGTGTGTGTACCCAGCCACCACAATGCCAGAACTACCGTGGTATTCTTCACAGCTCTGGTCCAGACATAACTCATGATTCAGCACTGAAGGGGAAGGGGGTATGTTTAGCTTGTGTCGTGTGAAGGTATTTGGTATTTTGTGTCTGGTTTACCCACATTTGTTCTCAGCTCCCACTGTGTGACTGAAATAAAACATCTAAATATTGTGGGACCAGAAAATGACTGCGCCACTTGCTTATAACACCGCCAGGAGAAACTGGCTAACCTTTAACAACTTAGCTTTATTTAATTTGCACACTCCTACTTTCCCCCTTATTTCAAAAGCTGGGTTTTTGCTTCTTTTTTAATTATAGACTAGACCCACTCTCTAAGAACAAGCTGATTTTATTTTTTTATGTCTACCTCCCATGTTGTGTATACTGTTTCAGAGAAAGGAGGCCACAGTTTTTGGAAAGATGATCTATAGTTGAGTATAGCTTTGACCTCAGCATATACTTAACTGTGATTGACTTTGCTTAGTGACAGAGCAGGAAGCCAGTTATTGTTAAAATTTGAAGTCCATAAAGTCCATTTAGACCAAATACATCTTTCCTGATGGCCTTGTCAGGTTGCATGAAAATTGACCATTTAATCACTTACTTTCCTAAAGAAAAAGTCTAGCACTCTGGCCAGGAAAATGAATATTATCATCCAAGGTCTACGCAGGTTTTCATTATACTCCTTACTAAGTATTAGAATATACCACATGACTGCACATTGTAATATGTTAATTTTTAGTCATTAATTATTTAATCATAGTAATTCAGAAAATTATAGGAGAAGTTACTTTCGTACTTTTAAAATTGTATTATCTAAAATCAGCACACAAAATAATGGGTTTCTTTGTAGCCCTTTCATACATAAACATTCTGTATTCATTACCCTCTTTTACCCTCTCTCTTCCCCCACTGATCCCCTTGCTCCCTCTTTGCTTTAATGTTATGTGCAATATATATGTATGTAAAATCTAGATTCTGCATAAGACAAAATATGACATTTGTCTTTTCCTCTATTGCCCCCCTACACTTCTCCCTCTTCTCATTAATTCCCTTTCATCCCCTCAAATAATAGATTTTCTACTTTCATGTCATATAGATGTATATATGTATGTATGTCCCACATTCTGCATATGAAAATATGGTATTTGTCTTTCTGAATGTGGCTTGTTTTTTTCTATTTTCTCCTGAAGTGATATTCATTTGGTAAGGAATGACCTTGTGTAATCTTTAGGCCAAATGTAAAGAAGGTATTGAACATGTAAAGTCTTTAGCCAAGTCCATGGCATATAAGAAGTAGTCCATAGACATAGTTGGATGAATCATATATGTATCTCACACACACACACACACACACACACACACACACACACACACACACACACACACTAATACTACTGGTGATGCATATGGTGAGATAATCCTTAAGGCCCATTGGCACTATATTTTAAATTTTGTGTTATGCTGGGATAACTAGTGACTTAGGGTAGAACTTTGGAGAATGAGTTTTATCAGGAGGACGTGGCCATCTAGTCTGTAGCAATGGTGCCACAAGGGGAGGGCACTAAGAAGGAACACACAGGAGTGCAGAGGCATCAGAGGGAGACTGGCCAGTTGCCTGACAGAGAGAACAAGCCCCAGAAAGCAGAAAGACTGCACTGCAAAGATAACATTTCCAGGCTTTAGCCTAGAAAAGGATTCCACAGTCCCATATGCAGTCTATTTGCTCTCTGGAGAGGAGAGCTATCCTGTGGTCCTGATCTTTTGGAGAAAATGCAAATGTAAGTGTTAAAAACCCTTTCAAAATGTGGAGCGACATAGGAACCTTTATTTAGACCTAAGTGCACAGTAGACAGGGGCTTGTAAAGACCAACCAGGGTATGTCTAAATGATGTGATTTGAAATTAAGCTGACAGCCCTGAGACCTGGGTCTAGGCATCTCTTTGGAAATCGGTAGTCATGTGAGCTAATAGGAGCTGACATCTTGAGATAGCATGGTTTCAGAAAAAACTAAGTCCTGATGTACAGCTGTCTCCTCAAATCCAGGCTGTTCACTTCCAGGTTGATAAAATGCAAACTCATGATGTTCTCACACCCTACACCCCCAAATTCATCCAGATTAGTATGGATTCCATCTCAATACTAATCTATTCTGTGCTCTGTGTGGATTGCTACCAGCTTCTCAGTTATATTTCTTGCCTTTCAGATTGACTTCAAAGACAGCCCAAGTTGCCAATGACCCATAACTAAGATGGCAATCTGTCATTTACCTCCCTCCAGGGCTACTGATATGAAAAGCACATGGTATAGGAGACAGACAAGAAAGGAACTAGAGCTTTTAAAATAAGTTGTTCAGGAAGAAAAAAAAGAAGTTCTTTGCAAAAGGCAAAATGCAGGAATGCCGAGTGCTGAGGCCAAGGGCAGCTCTGAGCTGAGCGAGGACAGGCTGATGACAGACAACAGCTACACTTAGCTGTGGGTATAAGGATAAGCTTTAGAATGTAGTACGGGATTATGCTGATGGAGTACAGTGGTGGTAATAGGGTCTTTGCTATGACTATATGGTCAATGTCTAGCCAGGTAAGTGGCACATTTCCAGTACCAGGCATGATTTCCCTCCTGTTTAGTGGCCTCATGTCCAAGTAGACAGCCCTTGGTTGTCACCAACATGTAAGTGGAATTTATTGAACTTTGATGCACATCTTGCCGTGCTGTTAATTTTTGTGCAGTTGGGTAGAACTGTTTAATTGCTCTTTTCCCTTGGCGCCTTACATAGTATTTTCTGGGACCGTGGAAACTAGACCACAGGAAACAGGTTTCAGGTC